AATAAATAACAACCGAAAAGCCTTCTTTATATATTGCTCCAACCAATTCTCAATTTCGCATTCACATATCACAAATCAACGTAAGAAGAAGGAAACAAAAATGCCAAAACCAAGACTTGTTTGGTAGGTATGTAATCATTCCCAAAAAGCAAAACCAACTTGAGAACTGACGAAACGTGTGCATCAACTAATGGCCGCAAACCTATCAAACAAATCCCAAAACATACGGTACTTTCTATGTAAAAATGGGGTTGTAGCCACTGAGAAAAGAGAAAAAAATGCAAGTCTCCGTTGTTTTGTACGTAAAAATAAAATAAAAAATCACAGTGTGCAAACTATACGGCTCATAGAGCAAATCCACAAAGAAGAGATGAGGGGAAAAGGATACTGGAGGAAGAAGGAAGCAAATGTTGGTAAAAACCCTATCTAAATATGTCGTCGAGCGAGCGAAGAGGAGGTACGGAGAGGGAGGGCACGAAAGGAAAAATTACCATATAATGCGGAAAAATCCACGATCCGATCGCTGTGTGGCTTCTCGGGCATGCTTAATATACCACGTCTGCACTGCACCAAATAGACAACCCAAATTGCGTCCCACGATTTCGCCACAACTCATGTCAAACGGATCCTTAGTTTCATGGATTAACTTTTTTACCCGTGTCCATTCATAACTTGAAAACCCTTTCTTATTTAACTTTACACCCGTGCATCATGGCTACTCTTGCACATTTTTCATTGTATTCAAGTTATATAACACATAGATTCTAGCAGATGCTCTAATATTGACACAATAATTTAAACATATTATGTCATCGTTTTTCGACAAAAAAATTACGTTGGTTGTCGCAACTTAACACAATTCTTCATTTTTTGTATCAAAGAAGTGTTTCAAGTGCCACACCGCCAAGAAGAAACCCTTAAAGAGGTGTTAAGGAGTTTATTATAAATGATATGTAGTTAGAAATCCTTCAGTTCCAATAGAGGTTTGCCGTCTTTGAGAGGAAACAATCTGGTGAGGCCATCCGTAGGCACTACGGTGACTCTCCAGTTCGAGAGAAGGAAGTGATTCCTTGCCATCAGGTAGTTTCCAGTAATGAAGAATTAATGCCTAGACAATTTGACATAGCATATCAGAGCATAAGCTCGGATTTTTGAGTGAAGATGGACTTGCTAGATTTTGATGGTCGCATGGATCTAGTCAAATTCATCAAGTGGCTCCAAGTATTTGAATACAAAGATTTAACCTTTTGGGCAATACATTATAAAAATGAGCTAAATGTGAATTTATATAGTTGGGATAAGGCTAACAATGATGATGATGACGATTTACATTCCTCAATAATTTATCAGGGTATGCTACAAATGAGAGTCCTTCAAGAGGAGGAGGACATTGGAAAGAGGGAGAAGAGCAAGCAAGGAATGCACCAATTTAAGAAATACAGAATTTTATTTCATATTAGAAATTTAAAGCATAGTATGAAATTCAATAAATATATTATCAATGTAGAAGACAAGCAATCAAATCGTACAAATGAGTTATATCTGATATTTTAGGTATTGAACCAATGAGGAGCTGATTAAGGATTAACTTTGAAGTGGGATTATTATTTCTCCTATAAGTAAAGATCGGTGCTCTTTTTTCTAAATTATAGCAACGGTATTGTTCTTCTAAATCAAATGCATCAAAAGATAATAATATTTGTTCAATCAACTGCCATTGGAAGTTCATATATGATTCATCTCTATCATTGTAAATCATTATGTTGAAATTACTGATTTGATGTCATGATTAAATTTTTTATATTTTGTCATACGATGTCATTATATAAATATATTAAATTACATGAGAAATAATAATGACGAAAAATATGTGTATATTGGTTAATGGAGTTCACATTTTATGTTAATAGTTAAGAAAGGTTTATACACACGTGTAAATGATTGTTTATTTTCATGTTTGAAAAAAAAAGATATTAATGTATCTTTTAAGTGATAAAATTAGACGATGATCATATAATGATTTTATTTTATAAATAAGAGACAAAATAAGATATTATATATTTTTTCCTGTACATGCTATTAATTTACATCAAGATGCTCTGGTTTCTTTTGAACTATTAATCTTTAAAGGAAATGCAAATGCTCTTCAACTTTCTTTGGATTTAGACAACAGGCATGCATATTGTGGACCAATACTTTTGTGCTATTGTAAATTAGAATTATGATTTACCCTTTGAGTTGGACTTATAACTCACGATTTTTATTCAATAAGTATTTATAGGCAAACAACTTGAGAATTGCAAATGAAATGATAACGATTAAAAATATGTGTATATTAGTTAATGGAGTTCACATTTTATTGTAATAGTTAAGAAAGGTTTATACACACGTGTAAATGATTGTTTATTTTCATGTTTGAAAAAAAAAGATATTAATGTATCTTTTAAGTGGTAAAATTAGACGATGATCATATAATGATTTTATTTTATAAATAAGAGACAAAATAAGATATTATATATTTTTTCCTGTACATGCTATTAATTTACATCAAGATGCTCTGGTTTCTTTTGAACTATTAATCTTTAAAGGAAATGCAAATGCTCTTCAACTTTCTTTGGATTTAGACAACAGGCATGCATATTGTGGACCAATACTTTTGAGCTATTGTAAATTAGAATTATGATTTACCCTTTGAGTTGGACTTATAACTCACGATTTTTATTCAATAAATATTTATAGGCAAACAACTTGAGAATTTAAGTGAATAATGTGTGAAAGTTATTTGTATCACATTGTTATTTTGGAATAGAATGAGTTTTATGATTTAATGGCCCTTTCAATGTATTGGGAATTGATGTTATAAAAATTTATGAACATATGTTTTGAAATTATTATTTAATGTTTGTAAGAATATCTAAATTTTATCTAATAATCTATTTCATCTTAATATTTCAAGCTACTGGGCCTGGTTATGAGAATTCTTTCAATTGCGCAAATACATCAAATAATCAAAATATCATTCAGTTTAGGGTTTAGGTAAAATTAATATCTTATGATATATCTTGAGTAATTTAAACTGTGAAGATGTCTAAGATGGAATGCAGGATTCACCTTACCAGAATATTAATAAACAACCTTTACAAGAATCATAAACTAGTGACTTGGAAACATATCTTTAAAAAAGGAAAGAATAACATGTCAAATAGAGCATCAAATGATACATGCACATAAATACTAAATTTTATGTGCTCATATAAACTAACGATACAATTCGATTTATTTACAAAGAAAATCAAACAAAAGTAAAAAAAATTTGCCGTCAAGAAGATAAAATTAAAAAAAAAATGTTAATCGAACTATAGGTAGGGCAGCAAATTTCAAAAATGCATAAAATCAAACGTGCAGCAATAATTTCAACAAAAAAATGACGAAATTAAATGAAATTTATGCAGCATGCACAGCATAAACATTTTGCAATGTGTTTAAAAACATTATTGACAGAGACAGTGACTTTCTTTTGAGAACATTGTTTGGTGCCAGCCTTAATAAAGGAATGCCATGGATATATTAACTCAATAATACCACAGCTGTTGAGTAAAGTAAAAAGTCAGAGAAAGGTGGAAACAAATTTTTAGTTAATGATGGTACCAAAACTGCTACAGCATTCAGCACAAGTCTATCCACCAGCCTTACTGAGTTTCTACTAAACTTTGCACTTTGCAGAACCAATACCCTTCATCTTGCCATATTCACTATTATCATTAAATTTAGGGGCAATTACATACAGACCACTCGAAACTTGCTATTTACAAATCAACCAATCTCTTTCATCCATTTTTAAAATTCTCACTCAAATATCAAAATTCATGATAAACTCTAAACCCATATTTTTTATTTTTATCAAATTCTCAATAGTTTGATCGTAACACGCGTAAATATATCTGTTTGTTAGTTCAAAAAAATTACTTGGGTGGTTAATTTGTAAATATCAATGTTTTGGATGGTCTCTATGTAGTTATCCCTTAAATTTAATACCATTTATTACAATCTGAAGGACTTTACAGGCATAAAAACCTTTTTACTTTAGAGGCTAAGTAATAGTAGTTTGCTGATTGAATCTTTTATGCAATAATACATGAAGCTACAGTTTCACAAGGCTGTTTTATACATCTTAAGAGAAGAAAAAACAGAAGTAAGAATGCTTTTGGCAAAATTAAATTGCAACTGACCAGTCCATTTGAGAAAAAATAGCATTATTTTATGTTCTAATTAAGATAGAATGTACATTGGATATCCATTATAATAAAATGCTCAACAAATTATTGTCTTTTATGGAAGTTGCTGCTTTGATTACTTTTAAATTTAATAGCATAAGCATTATAATCTTAATGATTTGAAAGGCATAAATGACCTTTGCATTTAGTAACTATATTATGGTCTTAATGCTTTGAAAATGAAAAGCTTGGTTAAGTTTTACCTCTGATTTGGTGGAAAGTGGAGGAGAAAAGTCCTAGCGTCTGTGCACTTATATAGTTTAATTGATGTCGCATCTTTCAATGTGCCTGCTTGCAAAGTTGCGTGACCGTGCCTGGCCACTTTTGATTGTGTTAGTTGTTTGAATGCTCCCAATACCTGACTGAATGGCCCGCTTCTTGCACTCTCCCTGTTCATCCCTTGCTCTCTTTCTCTCTATATTGTTCCCATTACCTCTCCTTATCTCTGTATCCATCTCTCATTCAATCTTTCTCTATGCTTCCGCTGACTGTTAATTTTCTCTTATTTTATTTTACTTTTTTTTAAAATAAGCACTGAACCATTTTACAGAAATTTCTGTTTTTTTACTGCAAATGACAACTGCCTCAACTTTCCTCCTATCCCTATTCTTCAATGGGGTATGGGCCTAAAGAAACTCGAAACTGATTTCTTCTCTTAAACCGTTTTTAATCTCTTAAATTGACCTTTTTTATCAAGGATAATGATATACCGGTTTGGTTATGCAGCCCCTGACATAACCTCAGATGATACTGTGGGTGTTTGGAGGATAGATGATGCCGAACAGAGTTTCACTACGCAGCCCTTTCGGATAAAATATGCAAGGCAGGATGTCATTTTGTCTGTAATGATCTCTTTCAATTTAAATATTGGATCAGATGAGGTTAGCTTTCCTACTTTGGTTCATGAAAGATGATCATTAAAAAATAGCATTTCACTCTTTTTCCAATTGAAATTATCTGCCTTGTTTTTTTTTTCATTTAATCATGTTTTTTTTTTTCCCTTTTCCTTTTCACTTTGCAAGAGCGAAACGTTTCATGTGTGACTATTATTGTTTACACACCTGTGGCAGATCCCTGCAAGGTCAGCAGTAATACTAAAATTTGAGCTCATGTATTCTCCTCTGTTAGATAATGGGTGAGGTGACTCTTCATATATTTCTATTCCTATGTGTTGCTCTTCAAAGCTGTACAGCTGAAGAATAAAGGGATCTTCTGTAACTTGTCCTAACCTATCATGTTCATTACAGCATAGAGATGCATGGTACTTTTGAGGCATTTTCTACAGCAATTCACGAATTTAGGATTCCTCCCAAAGCATTGCTAGGCATACATTCATACTGTCCAGTTCATTTTGACGTCTACCATGCAGTGCTTGTTGATCTAAGCATACATGTTGTTCTCTTGAAAGCCGGTATGACTTCACAGAAGGTACCCAGGTTTGTTGACTTTCAGCTTTCATGTAGTACCGAGTTACAAGAGCATTTTTTATTTGTGTTTATATTCTGATTCTTATGTATGTTTAGAGACTCTCTCTTGGTGGAACTTGATGCGAAAGAAATTTATAAACAACCAAATCAGGTAATTTCTTTCCTCTTCAATAGGCATGCCATTAGTTTTCACGCCTTCTGGCTTATGTTTTTTGTTGCATCAATGCAAACACCTGTGATGAGTGTGCTTAGTGTTTAAAAAAAAGGCTTATGTTTTTTGTTGCATCAATGCAAACACCTGTGATGAGTGTGCTTAGTGTTTAAGAATTTTTTTTTCAGTTTTTATTTTGTTTATTAGCATATTTCAATGTGGTTTTGCTCCGCTGCTCTGTATGGACTATAATAATAAGGCATCCCTTCTTAGGCTAAGATAGTTGTCAGACACCTAAACAAATGAAATGAGTAATATTGATAATTCATAAATGTGTTTCCTTATTCTACATGAGTTCTAGGAAGTCATCTTAACTATTTCAATCTGGCAGGTTTCTTTGGTTACAATATGATACATAAACTAAAGTTTTTGGTTTTCAGTTATTGGGACAAGGAATTAATTCGAGGGAGATTGAACTTCTCAAGTCATTGTTAATATCACATGAAAGTCTTGTCGTGGAACTTCAGAAGATCAGTAGTGTGATTGATCAGAAAATTGATGATTTAACTGAAGCTGATTTAAACTATAGTATATTTGGGTTAAGTGGTTCTACACTGTCAGATGTATCTAGTGTCAGTTCTAATGGGAATATGGGATTGGGACAGGCTGCAGACACTTTTCAGGTTGTTGTAGAGGTACCTCATTTATCTCGTTTCCCCGAGTCCTTTTTTTATACCATATATTTTTTTTTCAAGTCTAGAAAAATGTCTATTTCTCTGTTTATGCAGAACTCTAATGGCGTGTTTGATGTTCGGAATGATGTCATGCTCTATTCTCTATCCAAGGAAGAGATTCTTGATGTATTTTTCTCTGTAGGCAGCCAACTTTCATTATTATGGAATGCATTTTTAAAATTTCACAGGTATGGTGCATGCTGCAGATTGCTTTAATAACATATTTTCAACTTTTTGGAGTTCTGCATTTATAATGTTAACTTTACATGCATTTATCTTACTTGAAACTTGACACAAGATGGCTTAGGGCTGGAGATTACTGAACACTAATCATGTTGCATGGTATATTTTGATGAAAAAAAAAAGAAAAAGAAAAGAGAAGAAAAGAAACGAAAAGGAAGAATTCACAAATTACTAGTTACCATTAAATTAGGCAATTCACTATATTTTAATGAATACGAACAATACTAGTCTTTAAGTCCAATTGATAATGTGACGATCTTAAATATTCTGGATTTTCAACAGAAATTTAGAAATAAAATAAAATAAAATCAATGGTAGTATATTAATTTTCACAGATTTTTATTTTTTTATTTATCACTTTTTAACTAAAATCAAGATACTAGACCAATTAGTAATAAATCAGATAAAAGAAATAGACAAGGAATGAAATTATTAAGTAGTGAAAAATCAAGTCCTATGTCGGTGTCAGAAGATGACTTCACGCTTGAATCGCGCTCTAGGAATTATACATCCAACTTGCACTCGGATAATCAAGTATTTTATTCCAGCCAAAAATTGTGAATTACCCATTTCTAATCATTTTTTTATAGAGTCTCCATAGTCTCTCGGTTGGGAGAAAAGTTTTCACCTTCTTTTTTAACATGTGATCAGTTAGTGATTAACATTGTTGGCCCTGACCAAAGTTTGAGCTATCCTCCGTTGAACTTAATTGGCTTGTCCAAAGAGATGTGAAGCAGAGCACCTAAGTATGATTAAGTATGATTTTGCGACTCCAAAATTCATGTAAGAGAATGAAGATATAAGGAGACCTCAGACTAGTTTATTTTGTTGATGAAGGCTCTGAGAAATATATTAATTTTCATGGATTTTTATTTCTTACCTATCACTTTTTGACTAAAATAAAGGTACTACACTAACCAATGATAAATCATATAGAACAAATAAATAAGCAATGAAATTTTTAAAGTAGAGAAACATCAAGCATGTGTCGGTGTAAGAAGATGAATTCACACTTGCATTGCCCTTAATAAAATTATACATGCAACTTGCACTCACATAATTAAAAACTTGAATGAAATTTTATTGGAGCCAAAAGTTAGGAATTATCCATCTCAAATCATTCTTTATACTCCCCATAGCCATTTTGTTGGGAGAAAAAGTCTTCACCTTCATTTTTAACAACATGTGATGAGTTAGGGTCTATTTGGGGCAGCTGCAACTTATTCAGCTTATCCTGATAAGCTACTTATTCTGATAATCTGGTGATAAACAGCTGAATAAGCAGCTGATCCAGATAAGCTGTCTGTCTGTTTGGTTTGTGCGTTTAGAAAATAACTAATTCTAGAAAAATGATCAATCTGCCCTTGTTCTGGATAAACTACAGTTGTTTGGTTTGTGCGTTTCGTAAACAACTTTTCTTTACACGGACACAACATATTTACATGTCTAACACCTAGTTATTAATAATGATATACATTATTAATCTTTTAAAAGTAAAATATACATTTTCATGTATAAATTTATGACATCCAGCTGTTGTGTATGTGTAAATATCAAACTTTTGTTGTTAGATATCTAAAATGCATAAGAATCGTGTGAACTCACAGTAGACAGTTGATATCAGGAAACAATCAATTTACTTTCTCAGTCCTATCTATAAATCATCTCAGTGGCAAGTGACAAAAAATGAAATAAACCACTTCATTTACATATCACATAAAAAAGATAAGAATAGTGCCAATGACAAAACTAACATAGTAAGCCAACATATGTTTCATACAAGCAGCGGTTGCCCTAAAAGAACATGTGCCATCCAAGCTGCAATCGTACAATTTGTGATTTCATCAAAGCTATGGTTGCATAGTATTTTCAAGCTAGCATAGTATACTCAACAACTAAAGTTTGGAAGCAATGGTTGCCAAAAACAAATCTCATAATAGAACTAAAGTTTGAAAACTCATAACTATCATTTCCAAAGCAATACCACATCTATACTGCATTTAATATATCTAACACCTGCATTTTACACCAAATCCTTCAGCACAAGATCCCCTCAATTAGTAGGAATAACAGAACTTAAAGCAATAGTAAGCATCACTTCAACTTTCATATCAATATGCATATTTTAAGAGATGGTCAAATGTATACCCTTGTAAACAACTTTTAAACTCAAAATGAACTACTGTTGAAATCAACTCTCATCTGAAACAAGATAAATTTGCAAGAATATGAAGCTTGTTGTATCCAAAATCGTTGTTGAGGGCAAGCACAGTGAAATACGAAGGTCAAATAGATCTATTATACCCACCCACAACCGTAGCTTTAAAACTCAAAAGAAAATCACAGCAGAAAGCCATCAAGAAAGGCCAACGAAATAAGGGATTTTTTCTTGAAGTCTCCCCTTTAGTTAAACTGGCACTTAAGGAACAATATACAAAATATTTGTACATGGAATTAAAATAATATTAAATCTTCTGAAAAATTTGTTTCTTTTGAAATAAACTGTTTAGAAAAGAATTTAACTTGGAAATCAAAACAGAAGTGATGACCACAGTAGATCCTTCAAGCAGATACTCCCTTTAACAATTTCAACATTGTCTTGTCATTTTGAAATAAATCATCCACAAGCTGAAATCTAATTCAACTAATTCTAATTAATTTTTTCTAAATACACAAACACAATACACAAACACAAAGGAAGCGATTCCAAGCACACAAAGGAAGCTTGCAAAGAAGAGATGGCGAGGAGGAGGCAGAGGAGATGTCGAGGGGGTTGAAAGCTCCGACGGGAGGAGGAGAAGCGAACGAGACTTAGGGCAGAGGGAGCGGGGGGCGCAATGGCCTTTCATTCGTATGAAACACGGATCAAACGACGACGGAGTTCTGCGATGTGCTGAATTGGAGAGGGAGATAGAGCTGCGTGAGTTCGACCGGAGAGAGGAGCAGGGCACCAATAGGGTTTTGCGATGGAGGTTCTCTGCCAGAGCTTAGAATGCGGGAGAAGACGACACCCATGAGCGGAGGGCGTATATGTCTTTCCCTCAAACGAAACGCGGATCGCGGGTAGGACCCCCCGATCCGCGTCTAATATTAAAAACCGAATGTCGTTTTCAAAAACTCCTTCAAAATGTGATATTCAAACACTCGGTGGCGTTTTGAACGGTGGCGTTTTCAAAACGCCACCGCTGTGAATAAGCTCCCCCAAAAGCACCCTTAGTGATTAACATGTTAGGCCCCGACTGAAGTTTGAGCTATTCTCCGTTGAACTTGATTGGCATTAAGGAGAGCACCAAAGTGAGAATAAGTATGATCTTGCGACTCCCAAACTTCATGCAAGACTAGTTTACTGTGTTGATGAAGTCTCTGCTAGATGACCGCCAAGTTATACTGTGCAAGTAAAAATGCAAACATTAGAGCACTAACACTTTTGTTGTGTAGCCTATGTCAATTATTTGATCATAATAATAACCTCACTATGTTACATATTCACTTTTGTACAAATTAATAGGCTCTCTTTCTTTGTTATAGGTCTCTTTGTTAAGATACAATAGCCCATCAAAAAGTTGTTTGGAAAAAAATAAAATGGAAGTACCTATAGCTATCATATAGGTTGAGGGGGTAACATTTTGATACATGGGCTTTTGCATTGTGTTGAGAATAGGCTCTCGAAGTGAGGAACATGACATCATGGTGTCATAGTTGGGGTGATAGATTGCTGATGTAATCCTGTGAAAGTTTAAATTTTTGGCAGTTTCATAGAATGGTAGATCACATTTTGGTGATTATTGGATTTGACGAGCTAGACAGAGGATGGTGGAGATGGAAATTGGACTTTTTGACACTTCAAATTTTGAGGGGATGATTTTATTTGGGTGTCAGTCATACTGGCGATGATTTGATTTGATGACATCTGCTTAACACGACAAGGGTGGTTTTGATTGTGTGTGTGAATTGAGTTTGTACATCGTTTCCTACTAGATTTAGCATCCAAGTGACTTAATTCATCATTGTGATTGGATCATATTTCCATCATTTTTTTGATTTAACTAAATTAGTGTCATCACATTTTTTATGTTGTTTGTTCAAAAATTCAGTCAATTGATTTTGCGTAGTTTTTAAAATTTTCTCTCTTCCAACATATGTTTGAACGCACTCTTAATTTGTTAAACAAATTTGATAAAGGAAAACACAGTTACAGTTTCCTAATACAATTATTAGGATTAGAATATGCTTTCCTGCAAAGATAACTGATGATTCATAGATCACTAATTACTAATCAATATTTTAATAAAAACAAGCAAAGTAAGTATTTAAGTTTAGTGTATGATAAAATAATCATATATAATTGAGAATCTGAGTAAGAATTTGTAAACAATAAACTCAGCAAGCAAAAAAATTAATTTTACAGAATCAGATTTCCTACGCATCACTTTTGCACTAAACTAGTTAATTATCAAGATAGAGAAAAAGTATGCCTCGTAACTTTAACAGGGAGATTGCTGTCAGTATAAGTAATTTGAATGAGAAGTTGTGAATTATATGTTTTAGATCCATAGTTAATTTTGTAAATTTTCAAACGCTTAAAATGCAGCTACAAGGACTTCAGTAAAATCAAACATCCTGATTACATGCTATGCAAAACATGCACATGAGAAACCATTCCAAATGATACATCCATAGGAGCCTTATCCACACAAAAAACCCTGCACATCCAAACTGCATGGCACGAACACAGCTACCTCTCACCCTTCTACATGTCTGCAAGTCACGCCTCTGATTTTGCTGCTTTTTTCTTTTAATAAATGCTAATCAAACTTGACTTAATATTAAATACCACAATCACCTTTCATTTAAAACCTATGAGAATCTATAACTACGAGAAAACTGCCTTAATCAATACAATAATGTCAACTAACAAGGGACGAGAAAAATGTGCAAATTGCATTAACTTCCCTATTAGACTAATAATCTTCTGCTGGAGAGGCATAAACTTTTTGTCTACTTATCAACTATTTATCAATCTTAAACTTTTTTTATCCATCTCAAAATGACAACGTTGGGGATTATATCCATTTCCATCTAACCTGCTTATTCATATTTTAAAGCTGAGGTATCTGAGGGGTGATGATGATTAAACTTTAGCTCTAATTTGCCATCATAGAATTTCTTAGATTCAGCATCTCATATAACTTTTTTTCGTTGGTAGTTTATTTTTCCTTCCTATCCAGCATCAAGTATCGCAAATAGCACAACCCATGCTATGTTTTGCTGGAGAAGATACATTGCAAATTGCTCAAGTCGCACATGATGTTATTGTTTTATCTGCAAGAACATTCCTGTCAAACTGAAGTCCTTCTGTTAGAGACAAAAAATCCTTGCTTTAGTCTAGTCGTCAATCTTCAATATGTTTGAACCTATGTGAACATGACAATCTTGAGAGTTTTACCTATTGTCTACCAACCTTTACCTTAGAAGATGTTTGAGTCAGCATTTCATACTCTTTTTCATAGGTGATTTACTTCAACGACCTATCAAGTATAGCACATTCCATTTTTTATTTTCCTGAATGACTTTCTTGGACTATACATAAGTACTAGATTTGCTTTTCATAGAATCTGTCGATGCGTTGTGAAAAAATCATGTGATATTGGTGAGCTATGCATGAATTATTTTCTCTTATATTAACTGTTTGAATGGGTCACATGGCTGGCACTTGCACAGATCCAGCAAATTATCTGGGAAGATAATGCTATTGTGATGTGCCACTGCATTCAACTAGATGTTCTATTCTTGTTATGGTCCTATATTTTATGCCTAGTTCCTTGGGACTTTTTCAGAAACTTTATATATAAGCTGTTGCAAACAATTTTTTACATGAGCTAGTTGGCATTTTTGATCCAGGGCTCATAGAATCAAGTTAATTGAACATCTACGGAATTCATGGGCTGCTGATAGGAAGGCAGAGTGGTCAATTTGGATGGTCCATTCGAAGATTGAAATTCCTCATCGCTATTTACGAAGTAATTCCAATAATTCATCACAACGCAGCACACTTGGAAAGGCTGTTCAACGGAAATATGGGGATGATGTAAGCATGTTTACGAGAACAAATTTGTCATTTTTCTATGTTTATATTCTATTTTTAGAACGATATTTTTTGAGGACAATGACAGTACTTATTAAATGGTTTGTTTTTAACATGATAAGCCGGCACAAAGTGCAACTGCTCGTGCTGAGCTTCACAGGAAAAGCATTGCACAAATGAAGGTACATTATGATTTTTCAATTTTTTTTTTGTTTTTTTTTTTTTGTTGTGCATGCTGTGCTCCCTTTTGTTTTAACTCATCCCTTGTGCAGATTAATAACAGATCAATTCAAGACATGCAAATTTTTGGTGATCCTTCACGCATACCTGTTGTTATTATAGAACAACATGTCATGAATGTACCTCTCCATGGTTCTAGTGACAACTTTTTGTTATCTACCTCAGACGAGAATGCCTCCCCTGCAGTAACTTCAGGTTCTGGTGAGAAGAATACACCGGAGTCCTCTGATCTTGGCAAAAGAGGTGGTCGAGTGCTAAAAGTAGTGGTCTTTGTACATGGATTTCAGGTATCTCTATTCTTTCTGCGCTATAATGTGAATATATTCTATGTGCTATACAGTACGATTATGGCCAAATTAAAACCCGATTCTCAAAAAATCCAATACAATGGCGTAAATTTTTTAAAAAAAAGGGAGAATAAAGAAGATTAAAGGCACACCTGCCATAAAGTTCGAAAAAAAATCACCATTCAAATTCACATGCATATATTTATAGAGTGAAGTACAATCACGAGTCCATGCACAGCTGTCTGTTTGGATGAACTGTGAAGAGAGGGTGCCTACTGTAGTGTTTCTCAATATTCTGAAAATTAGTGTTTTATCCCTCTTTTTTTAAAGGAGAAAATATTACAGAATAAGGTGGCCAACTAGTTAATTGCTAAGAGTGACAAATAAGAATAGTCTTTATGTACATTAATTGTAAAATAGCTTTTAGAAACCTATCAAGAGAAGACTCAACACTGGATTGCCACTTTAGGTTTTATTTCTATGGCAAGAATGAGACCTTGGAAGCACACTATGACTGGTTTATTGAATAAATATTTTAGTAGTTGCTTATGAGACAAATTTGCAGTTATTTTAGGTATCAAATGTTACGAGCTGAGTTTTTAAATATTTTCTCTGATACACTTTTTTGCAACTATGCCCCAGTAATCCAATTACTGATTTCTTTTTAGAAGTTTACTATCATGACGAGAAAACTTCTTTTTTTTTTTTCACTTATTCGCAATTGAAAACATATTACATATTTATACTTGCTCCCAACTCTCTAGATTAGGAATAACTCTAATATAGAAAAGATTCTCTAATTAGATCTTCTCTAATTAGATTATCTAATATACAAAATTTAGATTTATAAATTTCCATAACACTCACCCTCAAGCGCTAGCATAAATATTTTTCCTGCCCAAATTAGATTCTGTTGAATCTTAGTTCGTTCATGAAAGACAGGGTTTGAGGCAGTATGAATTGCAGCTTGGTAATCACGAACAAGGTTGTTGAAACTATTATCTTAAAACCCATTCCGGTCAAGAGTTGGGAGATCCACATCAATTCACTTGAATCTTGTGCATCGATCGACAACACTGGACCATGATCATACATTCTGTTTCTTACTCTTCCATGAGATCAAAGTGCCGCCAAGACTGACTTAATAACAGTAACGGTACTTCAATCAATTTTGGGACTTGGCCAATTTATATTAGATAAACATTTAATATTTCTATGTGTTGACCTCATTTTTGGTGAGGTTTAGTTTTCCTCTTAGGGTTTAGGATCTATTCTTAGGGATCTCCCTTTGACTATCTTAGAACCTTAGAAGTGAGACCCGCTTGTTTTAGAAATTTAACCCACTTCTGTACTCTTTTGTGGTTTCACGTGTGTGGTATCAACTTCTAGAACTTAGAAGGATGAAACCAACATGAGAAAATCCAAAAGGGATTCCTATAGGACTTTTTGAGTCTTAGAGTGGCCTTTTGCACAATTCGCACTCCCGCGCACAAAACTTCGCAATTTGGAGAATCGACGCGTCCGATCGTTACAATTCACATCGCTTGCACTGTTACCTGTCCAAGACTCGAATAAACTTTTTGAAACGATTGATCGCGAGTCGTTTTGATCCGTTTTTGCCCCGATTGGCGACGAAGTCGTCCGAGCGACCTCGGATGACAAAACGGACTGCACCGACTCATCCGGAATATCAATTTTGCCTGAGGAGGACACCCATTTTGTCGCGCACGAGTAAATCAAATATAGTTTAATATATATATATATATTTATATATATGTGTATATATATATACTAATTTATGTTAAACCTATTTTCACCTTTTCTCTTTAAGCCCTAACTCCCCACTCTCAGCGTCCGAGCTCTGCCTCCCTTCCTTTCCCTTTCTCGGTCTCGAGCCAACCGAGCTCCTCCTCCACGCGAGAGAAAGTTGACTTCTCATTCGTTCTTGCCCGACACTTTCTGCCCGCGGCCGTCCTTCCCGAAGCCGTGTCAGTCTCTCCAAGTTGTATCCCTCTTTTTCTTGCTCTTGAACTGTACCCATCAGTGGATTTTCATATTCTATATTAATATCCTCAAATTTCATGTCAAAATCAATTATCCCTCCTTGCGGTATGTCTTCTTCGTTGAAAGCAAAGTTCAGACCATCTTTGAAAGCAAAGATCAGTCGTGATCCTGACATCTTCTCCTGAAATTATCGGGGAGACATCAGTGGGCTGAAATTGTTTGTGAACCAGAACAGAACATAGTTCGATTAATATGTATTTTATTTTGTTAACAAATGTATATGTAGGAAAGAGCAAATGCAGCATGTAAGAGTAAAATTTTTAATGATATTACATTTGCATTAAGAAGGTACTCTTCTTCCCCCCCTTTCTCAGTGCCCTGTTTCCTTTCGGTTTTCTCTCTGCCGAGCCTTTTAACATGGCTCTGTTGGATGATACAACATGCTAGTTCACGTTACTTTCATGTATTTTTGAGATATTCACTTTAAGAGCATGTGAAAGATGAAATGTGAGCATGTTTCAAGGGTGAGATTCGATTAATTGCTTAGGATGGTGCAAACATAGCATGATATAAGTGTTCTTCTTTTCTCTATTAGCTTGAGATGAAATTGTAGACTTTGAATAGGAAGGTTGAAACATGGCTTTGAGATAATTTTAACCCTTGCAAGCATGTTGGGATATGTATTATGAAGCTTTTCATCCATATTTATTTATTTTTATTATTTAGCATGAGAATATTGCTCTAACTTTTATTGTGGCTTAGCATTGGAGGTCTCAATTGCAGCTCGATTTTTGACCCTTGTTGGGTTCGAGTTTTAGCCTTGCTTGGCTCGGTTTGGTCTTTAACTAATCCGGAATTTGATGAAATATATGCGGGTTGCTCCTTGGCTTGGGTTTTAATTTCTGTTAAAGCTTGAGTTTTTGTCTCTGCTTGGGCCCTGTTTTAGCCTTGAGTGGCTCGGTTTCTGGCCTCCGTTGGGACTCGGTTTTGCCTGCTCTAGTTCTTGTTCTTTGCCTAATTATGAGGCCTATTTTGGCGTGAGATCTATATGTTGCTGGTTATTTCGAGACTAATACATGTGCAGACTTTTTCCTTAATGATTTAAGGCTGATTTGGGGTGTGGCGTTATTTGTTTTGGCCCTTGCTGGGCTCGGTTTTGGATTGTGGTAGTTCTGTTTTGGCCATTTGATGGTTGCGGTTTTAGACATTGTTGGGCTCGATCTTATCTTTGGGATAGTCCTGTTTCGAGCATTTCTTGGCTTAATTTTTTTTTCCTTTTTTTTCGGTTTGTCTGGGTCCTATGTCTGGCACAACACATGGTTTGGTTTGGGCTTCGATGTGGCCCTGTTTGGGCTGGCAGTGTGGTTCAGCTTTGATTTTGCCAGGTTCTGTTTTGAGGTGATGTGTGCCTTGGCTTGGGAGTTCGGTCGACCCTCTTTGCTTCCCCTTTCCTTTTGGCAGCATTGGCCTTGAGCCTTAACTTGTTGTGCCTTGGGTTGGCTGTGGTTGTGAGTCTTAGCGGCTGCTCCTTCCTACTCCTACCCGTGAGACTTATTGAGGGTGCTCAATTTGATTTGGCTCTTCTTGTTGGGCTTGAATAGCTTGAATGATTATGGAGGAATTAAGTGTGTCATCCAAAAATATATGTATGTGCATTATCTATAAAATGAGTTGATTCGAAATGAATTAGGTATATTTCTTGAGTTTTACTTGGGGAAATTGGAACTGGTTTGAGATGATTTATGAAAACCTGTGCATTCACTCTCCTATGTATATCGAAACTTGTAGGGGATTGATTTGACTTTGCCTTAGTCGTGAGCCCCTTCTCCTATGCCTTGGGTTCGCCTTAGCCGTGAGCCTCACTTATGGTCCTTTGTGAGTTGCTTTGGCCGAGAGCCTTGGCTGCTGCTCCCTCTATTCTATTGACCCCGACCGTGAGCATTTATTTAGGTTCTGTGGGAAAATTTCACGTTTATTTGATATACGAGACTTTTTATTAATCTGAAAGTGGGAGAATTTTGATTTCGACATGAGTTTGGAAATATTGGTGGTGGTTTCCCCGAGGACACTTTCTTTTGAAGTTTGGGAGATTTTAAACCTCATTTTGGAAAGCATTTGGTGGACTTTGATCAATCCTACATCTTTGGAGTTTGGGAAAATTTGCGCGAAGTGGCCCTTTATGTTTGTTAGGAAAGATCTTGGGCCCTACTTTTTCAGGTCTTTTCGATATGAGTTTTGAGAACTTATCCATTCTTCTTTTTGGTGTTTTAGATGGATCAGCTCTCTCACCCCATTTTTGTTCTTTTCTTTCCTTGCTTCTTGGTTCGTTCTTTTTGATGCTTATGTCCGATGCATAAGTGTCCACGTATAACCTTTTGCTATACGTGAAACCATTAAACAATGTCGCAAGTAGTCGTTTT